CTCATTTCACACATTTTGTCAGTAGCTCCTGAACTATATTATAAACGCCTTGAGGGCAAGGTCCAGGCCTTCTTTTCCTTCTTGTCTCTGTACTGCCTAACATGGGGCTGTATACACAGACTGATATAAAATGTGAAAGCTCTCTGCATGCAGATGATTAATCATCACTAGAATTTTTCCAAAGGCACTGTCTCTAGTGCCAAGAGCACATTTGTTTAAAATGTGCACTTAAATTTGAATGAATCTGCCTAAATGGTGCCATCTGTTCTTAGGCAGTTTCAGAAAGGTTTTAGTACAGTTTTACCTTTAAAAGGACAAATGCAAGGGCATGCCTATGAGACATAAAGACGTCCTTAAGTAAACACAGAGCAGGCACTGGCACATTCAATCACACTTAAGCAGCTACACATTAAGAATGTTTTCTGAGGTTTAAGAAAATTTTAGCTAAGAGGACACCAACTACTACTTCATGCAGAAAATATTTATGAGAAGTTACAAAATTGTAGGCATGGACTCCTACACATATTACTGCATTTTAATTACAGACTACAGAAATACAATTTAATTTGCTGTACCCTTTGAAATGGGTTGACTCTTCCACTCTTTGCTAATGGCCTGCATTTTACAGTGATTTCAGTGCCTCAATTTACAAGCTGAAGACAGCTGTTGGGGATAGTCTCTATGTTAGTCATTTCTATCGATTGTCATTTGACTTTTGTTACAGTGCTGTAGGATTTATTGTTGTGTGAATATAACAGTGAAATGAAACCCATGTTTAAGTTCTGCAAATAACTTACAGTCACTTCCAAAACACCTCAACTTAGGTTCTAAATTTGAGTTTGCGGTTTTACATGCACGGTTATTTGCTGATCCACTTTAGCATGCAAAATCACACACTGGCTAGGTTTGGGTATAGTTATTGTGGCAACGAGTAATGGGTCAAATTTTCAGCCTATTTAATTCACTAGCTACATCATCATCACCAAAAGTATGCCAGTATCTGGACATCTGTATATTTTGCTGTGTATGTGCCAAGTCGCTTCAGTCACGTCCGACTCTTTGTGACCCCGTGGACTGTAGCCCGCCAGGCTCCTCTGTCCATGGAATTCTCCAGGCAAGAATACTGGAGTGGGTTGCCATGCCCTTCTCCAGGGAACCTTCCTGACCCAGGGATCAAACCCGCATCTCCTATGTCTCTGAATTGGCAGGAGTGTTCTTTACCACTAGCGCCACCTGGGAAGCCCCTGTAGGCGGATTCTTTACCAGCTGAGCTACCAGCAAAGCCCATGTATTTTGCTAGTTGGTATAAATCTACAATGGTCTATATCAAGACTGTATATTTATAGAAAGAATAGCATCCACATATGTTACCCTATCTGAATACATGTGTATCCATATAGAAATTCTTTTGTTAAATCCCATTTTGCAAAGGTGGAGATCTGAATGGCTTTATGCATATGAACGTTCCTTTGGAATATTTTTAACTACTTTTTATTTTAGATATTTTTAGATGTCTGATATTCATTTACTTCTGATAATTTTTAAATAAAAGAAATAGGATATTTCAGATAATGGTGAAGTCATCTCTCACAAAGGCAACTACTGTCATTAATTTGCTATATCCTCTCAGTCCATTTTTTAAACTTTTAATGACCTAGGTTATGGCACCATGAGCTAATGTTTTTAAATAATATTGCCTTATTAATTATCTAAGTTTTATCATAGTATTTTTATCACTAACCTTCCATTTTCCCTCAACATTCTGTTTTAGAAATCAATGTCAACCTACACAAAAGTTGTTGCATTTTACTGTTCTGTAGTTTGAATTAGTCTAGTTTATTCATCTTTCCACTGCAAGATGTCCATTTAGGTTGTACACCTTGCAACAACTTCTTGCTGCCCTAAGCAGTGCTGCAGTGTCATTTGACTTTTGTCTCTGCCTCTGTCTCTCTCCCCTATAATGTCCCTGGCCCAGGTTTCCCTTTTGGAAATATTCCTAGTGAAGTGAAATGAAGTGTTAACTTCTCGGTCATGTCCAACTCTTTGCCACCCATAGACTGTAGCAGACCAGGCTCTTCTGTCCATGGTATTCTCCAAGCCAGAATACAGGAATGGGTTGCCATTTCCTTCTCCAGGGGATCTTCCTGACCCAGGGATTGAACCTGGGTCTCCAGCATTGCAGGCAGATTCTTTACCATCCGAGCCACCAGTAGTCAGTCTATTATTGCTGGCTTGTGGGTCATAGCGAATTCCTCAAAAAAAAAAAAAAAAAAAGATTTTTAATTTGCAGTCCCACCATCTGTATATATTATTTTGACTTTCATTATCTTTACAAATACTTGTTTTGTTAGACTTTATTTCTTACATTTTCTGGTCTGATAGAGGTGGATGAATAGTTAATTGTTAGATTTTAATTACTTGTCTTGAGTATTTGTAAGCCTGAGCATTTTTTTCAAAGACATGTTGACCATATTCAGGTTTCCTTCTTATAGGATACATATTCATATCCTTTGCTCATTTTTTTCTGAGTTGTTTGTCTTTCTTTTATTGCTTTGTGGGGGTTCTGTATTTGTATTTTGTATGCACTGTATTTGTCAGCCGCATATACTGCTAATATCACCGCCCAGTCTTTTAACTTCATGGTAGATATCATGGCTTCCCAAGTGGCTCAGTGGTAAAGAATCCACCTGGTAGTGCAGGAGTCATTGGTTCGATCCCTGGGTTGGAAAGATCCCTGAAAAAGGAAATGGCAATGCATGTAAATCCATGGCTGATTCATGTCAATGTATGGCAAAAACCACTACAATATTGTAAAGTAATTAGCCTCCAACTAATAAAAATAAATGGAAAAAAATAAATAAAACCAGAAAAAAAAAAAAAAAAGGAAATGGCAACCCCCTCCAGGATTCTTGCCTGGGAAATCCCATGGACAGAGGAGCCTGGCGGGCTGCAGTCCAGGGAGTCGCAAAAAGTCAGACACAACTGAGCTACCAAACAGCAGCAGCAGCAGATGTCATCACACAGATGTTCTTTAATTTTGGATTATTTGATCAAGTATTTCAAATCCATTTATTTTTGTGTTTTATGTTTTTTCATAGATTATCTGTTACCACCTTGGGTTGATTACAACATGCTGCTGTGTTTTATTAAGGTTAAAGTTGTGTTATTTCATTCAAAAAAGCAACAACCAGACTTGTGGACATCTCCTGATAAAGAGATGCACCACCACTGGTAGCCTTGCTAAAGGGATAGGACGTAAGTCTGGTCAAGCCCTCGACCCAGCTGCTGATACCCAAGGAATAGAGCTGACAGTTCAAGTTGAGCTCTCCCATGAGAACGTAGGCAGTCCGGGCTGAGAAACTTTGGTCAAGTGGCTCAAGTTCTTCAGCAGATACTTTGTAAAGAAAACAAAGGGCTGGAAAGGGAATCAAGCTGGATGGAATGAGAATCAAACACTTATCAAGCTAAAAACCTAAGGACTAAACTAAAACTATAGTATCTAAGGATGCATACTGAAGTGATAAAACCCAAAGAAATCTAAGGAAGGGATTACTACAGAGTCAGGAAGAAAGTGTTTATTTTGGGGAGAGGATTAGGATGGATCCTCTGGGGTGCCTGGCAGAATTGTTTTTTGACCTAAGAGCTAGTTAGTAGGCTGTTTCCTTTGTATAATAAATCACTTCGCTAAACTAAAAGAAAAAAAAGAAGTTGTGTTATTTTGCACATAAATCTTTATACATTCTGGAATTTATTTATGTGTATAGTGTGAGAAAGCAATCTAAATTTACATTTTCAAGACGGATAGCCCAGTATTCCAACCATTATTCCAACACCATTTGTTAATAAGTCCATCCTTCCTCCTCTGTGCTATGATGTCACCCATGCCTTATGCAGAGTTCCTTAAATGAGCATAGCATGTTTCATTGACCTAGTTATCTGCTCCTGCAGCAGTACCACACTGTTTTAATTACTCTAGTGTTATGATTATCCCTGGATATATAGCAAGACAAGACCCTTTTCCTTATTATTCTTTCACGGAATTGGTTTTATTTTCAATATTTGCTCTCCCATCTCATTTTTAGAATTAATTTGTTTTGCGCTGTAAACAAAATCAACAGCATTTGTATTTCAATTGCATTGAATATATTTCTTAATAGAGAGAGATTAATACAGAGATTAATTTTGGATTTTCCCATCCATGAAATGGTATATTAATATCTGGCACCTCAATTTTTCAAGTTTCCATTTTGTATTCTTTAATATTATTTTATCATTTTCCTTGTAAATTACATATCTTTTATAAGATTAATGTCTTATTATCTCATCATCTTTCTTGCCATTATGAATAATGTATTTCCTGATTAATTATTGCTGGATTACTAGAACTTTACTGATTTCTCATATTTATCTTTCATCCAACAACCGTGCTCATTTTTTTAGTCCATAACAGTTTATTTGTAGATGTTCTTGCATTCTCTATGTAAACCACAATATTTTCTGTGTATAAGACACTTTATTTTCTATTACCATGCCTCATATCTTTTTCTTGTTTATTATTTTGACTGGGAGCCCCAGTTCAGTGTTGGGTAGTAGCAGTGATGTTAGGTATCCTTGCCCTTGGATTGTGTTTACAATTGTGTAATGAACTCTCAATGCACCCATTCCCAGCTCTTTTCTTATGAAATTCACATTGAACATTTTCAGTATGGCTAGCCAAAGTTAAGGTACGGACTGTGGTCATGTAATTAGGTAAACTTATTGTATTGTTTAAGAAGACCCAAGCTTTGCCTCATTCAAACTCTCACTTTCTGAATGAACCTACCCATATCTGTTATCAGGAGTAATTCATATCAAGGATCTCCGCTGCAAGCATCTTTACTCCATTTGAAAGTGTTCACTTCACAGGAAATGTCTTATCAGTGGAAATATAAATTTAAATCTGTTGGTAGTCTTCCAAAATTCTCATTGTTCATGTTTGTTTTACAACTTATTTATTATAGACTCCTATGAACCAAGCTTCAACCCGTTCTCACTGCATTTTCACCATTCACCTGTCAAGCAAGGAACCAGGATCTGCAACCGTGAGACATGCCAAGCTGCATTTGGTGGACCTGGCTGGTTCAGAGCGGGTTGCCAAGACTGGAGTCGGAGGCCAGCTTCTCACAGAGGCCAAGTATATCAACTTGTCCCTTCATTACTTAGAACAGGTAAACAGGCGGGGTAGGATGACATATACCTACCATTTTAATAAATTTTATTTATTTTTAATTGGAGGATAATTGCTTTACAATATTGTATTGGTTTCTGCCATCACCATGAGTCAACCATAGGTATACATATGTCCCCTTCCTCTTGAACCTCCCTCCTTTTGATGATGTACATAGCATCAGGCATTCTACTAGCATTTTTGCCCTGTTTTGTGTCCCAAAACAAAACATATATGATGTAAAATTATATTATATTGTGGCAAAATATATATAATGTAACATTTACCACTGTACTAATTTTTAAGTATACAATTCAGTGACAGCAAGTACATTGAAAATGTTGTACAATCATCACCACCGTCCATTTCCAGAAGTCTCATAATCCCGAACAGAAACTCTGTTCCCATTAAACAGTAACTCCCATCTCTTTATACTCCCAGCCCCCATCGTGCCTATTCTACTTTCTGCTGCTATGAATTTGCCTATTCTATATACTCCTGTAAGTTGAATTATACAATGTTTGTCCTTTCGTGTCTGATTTCTTTCACTTAGCATAATTGCAAGATCCATCCATGTTTTTGCATGTATTGGACTGTCCTTCCTTTTTTAAAGTAGTTATTGACTTATTTGGCTGCATTGGGTCTTAGCTGTGGCATGTGGGCTCTTCACTGTGTCGCGTGGGCTCTTTACTGTGTCACGTGGGCTCTTCACTGTGTCACGTGGGCTCTTTACTGTGTCACGTGGGCTCTCTCATTGAAGTGTGTGGACCCTCTAGTTGTGGCCCAGAGGCTCGCTAGCTGCAGCACAGGCTCCAGAGCACTCCAGCTTCAGTAGTTGAGCCACCCGGGCCTAGTTGCTTCATGGCATGTGGGATTTAATTCCCCAACCAGGGATCGATCCTCATCCTCTACATTGAAAGTGTGGAAGTGTAGATATTGTTGTTGTTCAGTCTCTAAGTCATGTCTGACTCTGCATCCCCATAGACTGCAGCATGCTAGTCTTCCCTGTCCTTCAGTATCTCCCAGAGTTTGCTCAAACTCATGTCCATTGAATCAGTGATGCTATCCAATCATCTCATCACCTGTCACCCCCTTCCTGCCCTCAATCTTTCCCAGCATCAGGGTCTTTTCCAATGAGTCAGCTCTTCCCATCAGGTAGCCAAAGTTTTGGAACTTCATCTTCAGCATCAACCCTTCCAATGAATATTCACAGTTGATTTCCTTTAGGATTGACTGCTTTGATCTCCTTGCAGTCCAAGGGACTCTCAAGAGTCTTCTCCAACACCATGTTCAAAAGCATCACTTCTTTGGCACTCAGTCTTCTTTATGGTCCAGCTCTCACATCCATACATGACTACTGGATAAACCATAGGTTTGACTTTACAAACTTTTGTTGGCAAAGTGATGTCTCTGCTTTTTAATATGCTATCTAGGTTTGTCATAGCTTTCCTTCCAAGGAGCAAGCATCCTTTAGTTTCATGGCTGCAGTCACCATGGGACCATTTCATGGCAAATAGATGTCATGGTCTTAGTTTTTTGAACTAAGTTGAGTTTTAAGCCAGCTTTTTTACTCTCCTCTTTCATGCTCATCAAGAGACTCTTTACTTCCTCTTCACTTTCTGCCATTAGAGTGGTATCATTTGCATATCTGAGGTTGTTGATATTTATCCCAGGAATCTTGATTCCAGCTTGTGATTCATCTAGCCTGGCATTTCCCATAATGTACTCTGCATATAAATTAAATAAGCAGGATAACAGAGCATCATTTCCACTTTGCCCCAGATGCCTCATTCTTCCTGGAGCATTTCTCTGCTCTTCCCCAGTAGTATATTAGCCACCTACAGACCTGGGGCTCATCTTCTGGTGTCATATCTTTTTGCCTTTTCATACTGTTCATGGGATTTTTGAAGCAAGAATCCTGGAGTGAGTTGCCATTCCTTCCTGTGGACCACGTTTTGTCAGAACTCTCCACTGTGACCTGTCTGTCTTGGATGGCCCTGCCTGGCGTGGCTCATAGCTTCATTGAGTTGCACAAGCCCGTTCACAGCAAGGCCATGATCCATGAAGGGGGAATGTAGATATAGATATATCGTATTTTGTTGATGAACATGACTTCTTTCGTCCTTTTTGCTCTAGTGAATAATGCTGCTATCAACATTGGGATAGCTACTATAATTCTGTATAAACCATTTCATTTAAACCTCAGAATGGTTGTGCACTGGATGTATTACTTATTACCCCCATCTTACATTTTTTATAACTCAGGTCCTCCCTAGGCCTTCGAAAGATCACGTAGCTAGTGGTGAGATAAGGATTTGAACCTTGAATCGCTTGACTCCAAAGCCTATGCTTTTTTTTTTTTTTTACTTTGCTTATTGTTTTTATTGTAAAATTAGTAGTGGGTATGATGAATGTAAGAAACACCCTCCATGGCTTGTTTGTTTCGGGCTGGTAGATTAGCTGTGAGGCCATAATGTGGAGATGACTAGTATCTTTTCCACTTGTGGTGACTTCATCTGGTGGTGATTCTGACCCCGCAACGGCTCTGTTTATCTAGCTTCCCTCCCTGTCCCCGCTCCAGGTTCACTACAGTCCGTCCTAGTGCATGCTCAATTTTTAATTTCTGAGTTTTATTTCAAGGACAAAGAAAGCTCATCTGAATTTTGCTAAATAAATCTTCCAGAAAAAAAATTCTCTCTGAAAGGAGCAAATTGAATTAAATTTCTTAAGTTCCTTTCAGCTCTGTGAGTAGAAACACTGTGAGTTGAATGTTAAAGATGGCAACTAATTACAAGAATAAAAAAGGAGAAACATGATCAAAAGCTAGAGTGGAGAAATACAGAGAGCATTGGCAAGGCAGAATGATTTGTTGATGAATGTTGGAGACTGAAAGATTTGAGAAAAAAAATACTTTTTTTAAAGCTGCCTAATGAACCCTTTTGAGAATGATGTTGTCCTGATGTTAAATGCTTTCTAATGGTCAAGTTGGCTGAGAAAGCAGTTTGAAAGAAACCTAAGGGAACTCTCTGTGAACAAGGCACACACAATTAGGCTCTGACTAAATGAATCCCAGTGATGCAGTGCCCAGAGATTAAGGCCTGCATGTTATTCAGATAGTGTTTCTGACAATAGCATTCCTGAACTCTGTCTTGCTCAACTATTACACACTTATTTTACTTAACAGATCTTTTTACTTTACAGGATGTTTATATAACATTGATATGAAAACATAATGAACTGTATTCAAAAGTGCTTTCTTTCAAAATATACCTACTTGTTTCAGATGTTAGCATTGTCCTTTAACTCCCATTAGGTCTGTCCATTTGTGTGAAATTGTATTTATATTTGCTAGTTGAACCAAAATTTTCCCCAATTATAATCACTCAAGAAAAACATTCTGCTCCTAATCCTTTCTTTTTTCTTCATTCTATACAACCTTTGCAAGCTGTTACTTGTTACTAAAACTCTTCCTCTCCCTACCTTTCTTCACTTCAAAATTCTTATCCCATAAGCCTCATGTAAGTAGTCATGGTGGCATTTGATTTTCTGTGTAGCTAGTTTATTTAACGGATATTTATACGGAGCAATAATGTGCCGAGGACTGCACTAGGTCCTGGAGCACAACGCTGAACAAAATTGGAAAAGGTCCTCACCCTGAAGGCCTCACGGTCCAGTGGAGGGGGACACACTTTGAATAAGTCATCTGAATAAGGATACTTATTATAAGAATAAACCTGACTATAATCCTGATGGGAACCTGAAGGGCAAGTCCAAGGGGCAAGAAGAGCTTGTCATGGGGGACTGGACTCAGACTGAGAGGGGAGGGTTAACATAAGTTCTCTTGGGGCTGATGCAAAGCAGAGATCTGAGGAATGAGTCGGAGTGAGCCCAGCCAGGAGGTGGGTTCAGGGCATGTCAGACAGTGAGAACTGGGAGCCTGTCGGCCCTTAGCTCCCGCCGGGGGATTGGTTCACCCAGGGTCCCAGTGACATTCACATGTCGTTGACTTTCGGCTCCCCAAATGTAACTTATCTGTTTCATAGACACCGGCTGAATTGCTGCAGCCATTAGCTGTTTACACTGATGTGCAAGTATGTTCATGGGAGTCATGGCATAAAATAATGGAGAGAGGGAGAGAAAGAACAGATCAGCATGTGAGGAAAGAAGAGCATAAATATGGAAAAATGCAGAGTATGCACATGGGTATGTGGGGTTGAGTAAACCTAGGAGCTGCTGCCATAGAGGTTGTAAGAGGACAGTAGACAAATATTGGAATTTTACACAGACAGACAAGTGAGAGTCTACCAGAGAATACCTGGGAATGAGAATGATAAAAAGAAAGAGCAGATACTGTTGATGAAATAACAGAATTCAAGGACTTTTATAAAGAAAGTTTCCTTATGAAGGACTTAATTATGAGGCTATGAGACTGGAAGTATAACACAATTTAGTTTAATCAGCTTCATTCATTCATTCAGAAAATTGTGATTGAGTGTCCACTGGGTGCTACCAGTTATGTTAGGCAATGGGGCTCGACTTATGATTGAAAAATAGTCTGTGCTACCATGTCATTCAGTCAAAGAGCCAAGCATATAAACAAGAGCTTACAGTGCAGCAAGCTGAATGCTATCACAGAAACTCATGTAGAGATTGGTGACTAATTACATCCTTTCTGTCTCAGTTTCAATATATAAGATGGAGATAGACTAGGAAAAGACAGTTTGATAACCATTCTTACATGAATTAACCCACACTGGGTATAGAAATTCCATGTGATTGTGACTGCCCCCTGGACATTACTGCAAGACCTTACACCTGCTCGCAGGGCACAGTCGTTCTGAGTTGAATGTACCTCATTATGCTCAAAAGTAAGTAAATTTCTGAGTACCCGAGTACTGTTGGTTTTGGAGTTTTCCTTGTGTATGTAGTACTTTTTCCAAAAAGTCTCCTCGAAAACATTTTAAGCCACAATAACAGGGTGCATCTTGGCCCTAGAAATCA